ACCCCATTCATGTGGCTTCTTTTTGAATTCACTGACTTTTGATAAACTGGCTTGCTTCCTTAATAAATTTTGTCCTATTCATACTTCATTTTTTTTGGTCGGTGGGGGGAGATGGAGTCTTGTTCTGTCACCCAGGCTAGAATTCAGTGGCACAATTTCTGCTCACTGCAATCTCTGCCACCCGGGTTCAAGCAATTCTCTTGTCTCAGGCTCCTGAGTAGCTGTGACCACAGGCACACGCTGCCACGCCTGGCTAATTTTTTGTATTTTAGTAGAGATAGGGTTTCACTGTGTTGCCCAAGCTGGTCTCGAACTCCAGAACTCAGGCAATCCGCCTGCCTTGGCCTCCCAAAGTGCTAGGATTACAGGTGTGAGCCACCACGTCCACCCCCTACCTTTTTTTTAAGAGACAGGGTCTCACTATGTTGCTCAGGCTGGTTTTGAATGCCTGGGCTCAAGTGATCCTCCTGCCTTGACCTCCCAAAGTGTTGAGATTACAGGTGTGAGGCACTGAGACTGGCCTCTATTCATACTTCTTTTAAAAAAATCAAAGTTCCCATAATTTCACATTCTACAGACAAACGCAGCAATTTGGTGTCATTTCTCCAAATATAATTTTCTATGCCTTATAATAATGTATAATAACCCCTTTTTAAGATTTTCTACACACAAATAGAAATATACTCTATGCTGTTTTGCAACCTAAAAAGATTTACTGGCTGGGCGCGGTGGCTCACGCCTGTAATCCCAGCACTTTTGGAGGCTGAGGCAGGCGGATCACAAGGTCAGGAGTTTGAGACCAGCCTGTCCAAAATGGTGAAACCCTGTCTCTACTAAAAATACAAAAATCAGCTGGTTAGGCCGGGTACAGTGGCTCAGGCCTGTAATCCCAACACTTTGGGAGGCCGAGGCAGGCGGATCACGAGGTCAGGAGATCGAGACCATCCTGGCCAACACGGTGAAACCTCATCTCTACTAAAATATAAAAAAATTAGCTGGGCATGGTGGCAGGTGCCTGTAGTCCCAGCTACTCAGGAAGCCGAGGCAGGAGAATCGCTTGAATCCGGGAGGCGGACGTTGCAGTGAAGCAAGATCACACCACTGCACCTCAGTCTGGTGACAGAGTAAGACTCCATCTCAAAAAAAAAAAAAAAGACAAAAATTAGTTGGGTGTGGTAGTGGGTGCCTGTAGTCCCAGATACTCAGGAGGCTGAAGCAGGAGAGTCACCTGAACCTGGGAGGCGGAGGTTACAGTGAGCAGAGATCATGCCACTGCACTCTAGCCTGGGTGACAGAGTAAGATTGCGTCTCAAAAAAAAAAAAAAAAAGATTTACTAACTTACTGGGGAAGCTCTTAGCCTTTCTTGCTGAGTTGTCTGCAATTTTGGTATCATAACCAATGTTGCAATCAACATTCATTCCCATAGGCATATCTGCAGATGGGTATTTCTGTAGGATAAATTCCTTTAAGTTGTACTGTGAACAGTTAAAGTGTTAACACATAGTGCCAGAGCACCCTTTGTTTCTTTGAGATAGCACATCACTCTGTTGCCCAGGCTGGAGTGCAGGGGCCCAATTGTGGCTCACTGTTCCCTCAAACTCCTGGGCTCAGATGATCCTCCTGCCTCAGCCTCCAAAGTAGCTGGGACCATATTATGCCACCATGCTCGGCTAATTTTTCAATTATATGTAGAGATGGGGTCTCACTACTTTGCCCAGACTAGTCTTGAACTCCTGGGCTTAAGTGGTCTTCCTGTCTTGGCCTCCTAATAGTGCTGGGATTACAGGTGTGAGCCACTGTGCCTGGCCTACCCTTCCGTGATAAGCCTTCTTCTTCCTTCTGGTTTTTGTTTTCTTCTGATTTCTCAAATATTCACCATTCATTTATTTTTAAACCCTCACTACCAGGCTAAGAAAACATAAGCAACACTCAAAATTTCTCCAACTAAAGAAGAATCAGAAAGTGTGTCCGTCCTCCCAGGCTCGCCACCTTACTTCCTCCGGGCCATGAAGAACCTGCCTATGCTGGGTCTGCTATAATATACCAGAAGACAGGATAGAAATGTGCTGAAAACCAAAAGGACTTGATGTCCAGGGTTTTGTGCATAGTTTGATTCCTTTTTGAGGTTCTTGATGAATTGGTCTGCTTTTGTGTGTAATTTAGAGAGTAAGTTCAAAAGATCAGCCAGCCTGGGGCCACTATTTTTGGCGCAGACACAAAATTGTGGCAGTTTTGTGCACAAACCAAAGTTAGGAAGCAAGAAAGAGGCGCACCACCCCAGGAGCTAATAAATAGCAAATGACCAATCAGAAAATTCAGACCCATGTGTGAAAGCAAAAAATAAAAATCAGACCTAGTAAAAGAGAAGGCAGGGTAGGAGTGGTGAGGGGTGAAGTACTTCCTACTGGGTGCAATGTCCACTACTCAGGTGCTGGGTGCACCGAAAGCCCAGATCTCACCATGACATGGACATCCATGTGACACAACTGCACTTTGCACCCCTAAAGCAATTTTTTAAAAATGGTAAACTTATTTTTATTGTTTATAAACTGTTAGTTATATGTCACACTAATTGGTTCGTTCATGGAGACCAGAATAAATGAAGAATCCTGCATATATAAGAACATTAGAGAACAAAGTAGGTGATGTCCCTGATTTATCCAATTCTCCAACTTTCTGCCTACCTTGTCACCAACTCTGTAATCAGGTGGAGAGGTCATCCTTACATCCATGATGTTGATTTCAGGGGAGTCCTCGATGGGGGGCTGTGGATCAAGGTTCCTGCTGGTTTCTATCTGGCTCTCAATTAATTTGATAATGGCATCTGTTCTTTCTCTTGGCATTGGCTTTCCGTGCCAGCTTTCTGCATCCTCCATACCTGTAAGGAAACAAATAAAAGATATCCATTCCATAAATGCTTTTTTTTTTTTTTTTTGAGATGGAGTTTCAGTCTTGTTACCGAGGCTGGAGGGCAATGGCGCGATCTCGGCTCACCGCAACCTCCGCCTCCTGGGTTCAGGCAATTCTCCTGCCTCAGCCTCCCGAGTAGCTGGGATTACAGGCATGC